TCTCTCTCTCTCTCTCTCTCTCTCTCTCTCTCTCTCTCTCTCTCTCTCTCTCTCTCTCTCTCTCTCTCTCTCTCTCTCTCTCTCTCCCCATTTGTTTCTGCCTTGTAGCTCAGTGATACACAGCTGTAACTCTTGATAAACAGATTAGAGTTCACTACTGCTGGATATCATAGGGGCTTCTTCCATCTCTGTTTGAACTTAAAGGGTTTAAAGTTTGAAAAAGGGCAAAAAAGGCTCATTTCACCACCCACTTCATTTACATATTTATAAGTACTAAGTAGTAAATACCTAGGTGACCCTGCATTTCCGTTTTTGTAGTACTGCCGAAATATTCTTCAGCCAACCTCACACACTCCATCTTGATTTCATGCAAAGATGTGAGCTGGTACTTACTCTACTTTGTTGGAACCTGTCCTCCTCACCTCTTCCATATTCCTACCCTTATGCTTCATTCACCCTTCCCTGCCTCCCTCCTCCCGCCCCACCCACCCACCCACCCACCCTGCAGACGGCTATTGTCAACCGAATGATTGCCTGCCAGAAGGATATAATGACACATACTTCAGAACGTGTGAAGGTCAGTACTTCTTGACTTCCCCTTTTTCACAATCCTTTGCTCCTCAGACCTAGGCCATGGCTACTTCTTCTTCTCCTTCTTCTTCTTCTGTTGTTTAGCGACGGAGCTATGAAATTGTGTTCTAACTTCTACACCATAATTTTTGGAGATGTGTGAATGATACCATAACATACTTTATGAGCAATTGCGATTGTGACCCAAAAGAAGGAGCTCCAAATTTAGGACTGCAAGGGGTGGCAATAACCGGATTTCAGGTCTGCGGTAGGGGCCTCTAGGAGCACCTCCATTTGACATTTATCCCTTGATAATAGTGGTAGTGTTTGACAAACAACAAAAAAACTCTGTGTATATATGTGTGTGTGTATCCAGTTGTCTCCCTATATCAACACTAAATCCCCCAGGAATCTAAAACAATAAAAAAGTCAAGGCTGGCCTCCTTTTTGTGGTTGACCAGATGTGCAGGCGTGGGTGTGGGTGTGTACATTGATGATATGGCAGAACCTGCTGCATTGCCGCACAGAGGATGTGGTACATCAGTTCCAGGTGTATCCCGGAACTTTCACTTGCTGTCCCATTGACTATGCAAGACATATCTGGTATTGGACGTTACCATAGGCCCACAGGGTGGTTCACAAACACATGCAGATATAATGAACCCTAGGGTAGGGAAGGGTATACCCTAGGGCAGGGAAGGGTATAGCTGAGGGTAGGGTATACCCCAGGGTAGGGAAGGGTATTCTCATATTATTCAAGGATAGGGAAGTTTATAGCCTAGGGTAGGGTATACCTCAGGGTACGGAAGGGTTTAGGGCAGGAAAGGGCTTGGGGTGGGGAAGGGTATACCTTCGGAAGGGTTTAGGGAAAGGAAGGGCTTGGGGTGGGGAAGGGCAGACCTTAGGGTACGGAAGGGTTTAGGGCAGGGAAGGGCTTGGGGTGGGGAAGGGTATACCTTAGGGTACGGAAGGG